TCTATATTTCTTTCTAATGTTACCTTAAAGTTCTTTATCCGCATATACAAAGTTTTTTTCACGGTCTATGTGGTTCGTGAGAGAGGGTATGTCTTGGCTTGGGACTGAAATAATGGAATTTAATGTAAAAGTAGTCTCAACTTTAACCTTTTAAGTTTCGTTCACCTTGAGTCTACTCAAACAATAAATGCAGAGGCCGGAATGGACTTTCAGACAATTCAAATGGGAATGCAGTCAACCGGAGATGTGATACACGATTTAGCACTATTTACTCACTTGGCATGTTACGAAAATTACGACCATTTTAATTGTTTATGTAAAAGATTGGATCAACACGGAAAATATTGAATATTGCACCATTTCGTTTGCGGGCGAAAAAATTGTTGCATTGTGCAGAATTTCACGGGTTATTTTTATTGGAAATAAATATACAGGGTGGCTGAGGAAACTTATGATCTCCAGTGATTGTATGAGTATGATTTTTATGAATTATAGACAACTCAAAATCGTTAATGAAACAGTATATCGCAAGAAATCACAGCAATTAGATTGGTAGAATTTTACTTCTTAAATAGAACGCAAAATTCTACAAAGAAGCGTTCAAAGTTCAAAGAGATGGCTCGTACAACATATGAACAATTTTCATGGAAACAAAGAAAGTTTCATGCTGGAGATTTTTTCTGAAATTTATGAGTTTACTTACGATTACAATCTGGTCATATATGATCAATACGAAATTTTAATCTATCCTAGATTACTAGAGTTGCTTCAAATCAGGAGTTTACCCTGTGGTGTTCTCTTAATCAACAATCTGGTCATATATGATCAATACGAAATTTTAATCTATCCTAAATTACTAGAGTTGCTTCAAATCAGGAGTTTACCCTGTGGTGTTCTCTTAATCAAATCAGATAAAAAGGGCACGAATGTTAATATGCACCATGCGCACAAGTACCATGCTTTGCTTTTTCACTGTCGCTTAAATTAATTCAAAGGGCTTTGTCCTCTTCGGTCTTCTAGTTAGCCCTCGTGTTGTCATGTAGCTGGATTGCTTCAACATTCACATAGCTATGGAGTCATTTTTTCATGATTTTTAGCCGTCTACTTGATAATTGTACACACATGCGTGTGCTTTTTCTTCATTACTTCTGGCCCAATTACCGTCGTAAACTAAGCATAAACTTGAGTATGAATAGTGCTGAGATGGGAATTACTATAAACGCTAAAAAAATGAAATACATGCTAATTACAAAAAGACCTCAAAATATACATCACCTATTGACAATCAATGGTAACGTGATAGAACAAGTAGAAAAATATCAGTATTGGGAACTTTGATCAATGAAACCAATGATCATACTGTAGAAAATAAACAGCCGAATAGAGATTGCCAGATCAGCATTTATACGAATGAAGCCACTCCTAACGTGCAAAATCTAAATTTGGAGATCAGACTACGTACCATTCGCTGTTATATATTTTCAATATAATTATATCGGACGATTATTTAGGAGGCTAATAAGCCTCCTAAATAGAAGCTTAATAACATCAAATATGCAGATGGCACCGCAATCATGGCTGAAAGTATCGAAGATGTTCAATTCCTTATAGATCGAGTTACTAGAGAATGCTCTAACAACGGACCTTAGCATAAATACAACAAAGACAAAGTTACTTGTGGTTAGTAAACAAGTTAGTAAACAATGATTTACAGAAACGTAATGCAACGCCTTAATGAACGCTGTCATGAGTACGGACTGAAGATAAATTTAAAGAAAACTAAATGCATGATCATGACTAAATCTGCACATGCAAATATCCAATTGACTATTGAAGATACTGCAATTGAGAGTGTTAATAACTATAAATACTTAGGAACATGGATAACATCAGATGTAGACCAAACCAAAGAAATTAAGACACGTATTGAAGTAGCACGTACATCATTTATTAAACTTAAAAAGTTTCTTTGTTGTCGGGATATAAGGTTAGAACTACGCCTGAAATGCTTCGATGTTACGTGTTCTCTACTCTTCTTTATGGTTTGGAAGCTTGGACACTAAAACAAGTTCATCTGAATAAGTTGGCCGCCTTTGAATTTTGGTGTTACAGAAGAATCCTACGAATATCATGGATTCAAAGAATGTCAAAAATGGAAGTAACTAGAAGGATAGGAAATGAGGCGGAAATAATATTAACTATTAAAAGAAGAAAACTTGAGTACTTGGGACATGTGATAAGAGGGCAAAAATACGCATTATTACAACTTATTATGCAGGGCAAAATCCGAGGAAAGCGAAATGTGGGAAGACGAAGAATATCCTGGCTTAAGAACTTAAGGGAATGGTTTGAATGCAGTAGTGCAGAACTTTTTAGAACGGCAGTCAACAGAACCCGCATAGCCATGATGATTTCCAACCTTCGATAGAAGATGGAACTTAAAGAAGAAGAAGTAAACAAGACCTCAGCGCTATACAACTAATTGTCAATAATGAACCGATATCAAAGTTAACCATTTTAGATATCTAGGATGTTGGATAAACGAGACACTAAATCCGAATGAAGAAATTAAAACTCGTATAGAAATTGCAAGAGGAGCATTTATGAAACTTAGATCTATTCTGAGTAATTCTCAGCTGAACTTACAGCTGAGAATTAAGTTCCTAAAATGTTATGTGTATCCTGTATTACTGTATGGATGTGAAACCTGGATTATAAAGGTTAACATGATGAACAAATTATTTATTTATTTATTAATTTATTTCAACGGTAGAACCATTTACAATAAAATACAACAAATAGTAAAAAGTAAAGATCGTGTACAATAAACATTAAAACAATAACAAAGAAACAAGTTAAACAGATAAAATTTGTACATTAAAACAATATATTATATCACAAAAATTTTAAAAAAAGTATCAGTATCACATAGTAACTATCACATATCTAGATTAATAGTGTTACGATTTTAAATGTTATGGCGTATAGAACTGTAAATATTTTATGACTAATTCTTTTTTATTGATTCTCGTAATTTCTAGGTCAAAAATCTACCTGACACCCTTTGGGTTCCCTTCGCTAAAACAAACAACAATCGAACTTTCTGGGGACGAGCCGATGAAAAACATACCAGTTTTTAGATCATTGCCGCTGTGTCTACGTCGAGAACGGCATCGTATTTTCTACAACATTCTGTTTAGCAGCTGGTTTCATATAAATAACGGAAGATTTTCATTGAGCAGTTAGTCAACAAGAAGATCGCGATCTCGCGTTAAATTGTCCGAACGCAAATAAATTATTTGTAATTATTAAGTGTAAAATAAATTAGTATAAAATTAAGACTTTTGATAAATTATCTTGAGTTTTAATAAATTAGAATAAAGACAATAAATTAGGACTAATAAAGACATTATAATAGTCAGATTCTGAAGTTGCCTTTTAAAAGCATTAATGTTTGGACAGAAAGGATCCAATAGGAGGTCATTGTAAGTGCTGAGTATTCTCGACAAGGGAAAATGACGAGCATAATCAGTCCTATGAAAAGGAATATAAAAGAGTGCAGTATGTCGAGTTCTATGCATTCTGTTTAAGTGTACATTGGCTAGTAACGAGGGACAATTAATAACGTTGTTTAGAATTTTAAACAAAAATAACATATCAGCTCTCAACCTGCGGTTCTTCAATGTAGTATGTAGCAATGTTAAAATGAGACATTATTATAGAATAATCTATGAAATAATTTTCAGTATTTTTTATATTAATATGTGCTTTAAAACCTAAAGATCTTAGAAACTTCCTCTGAACGCTCTCCAATCTATCAATGTATACTTAATGAAACGGAGACCAGAAAACAGAGCAGTATTCAAGACCTGAGCGTACCAGAGAGCAATACAATAATTTAAATACAATAGGTATTTAAATTAGAAGCCTTCGAAATGTGGTTATGTCGTAGAATGCTCAGAATATCATTTGTTCAACACATTTCAAACAGAGAAGTCTTGAACGGAGTAGGTCAAGGTCTTCTTCTTGAATTCAAGAAGTCTTGAACTCTTGAAGTCAAGGTCACGCCGCTGCTCTAAAGTGGTGAGCAGAAGTGCAGTTAAACCAAGCTCTCAAATTATTTAACCAGGAGATGCGTCCTCTTCCGGGACTCCTTCTACTCTGTATTCTTCCTTGCATTATTAATTGCAACAAGTTATAATGCTCGCCCCTCATAACATGTCCTAGATATTGCAGTTTTCTGACTTTAACTGTATTTAAGACCTCTTTATCTTTACCCATTCTTCTCAACACCTCGACATTCGTGACTCTATCTACCCAACTTATTCTTAATATCCTTCTATAAGCCCATAACTCGAAGGCTTCCAATTTGTCAGGGTCATTGTCAGGGTAATATCTGAGGCATATAATGCGAGGAAGTAGATACAGGATAATGCAGTTGATAATCAACGGAAAGATCGACATAAGAAGAGGAATTGGTAGAAAGAAATACTCATGGAAGCTACCCACGTCTAAAACTTGGACACGGTACTCAAAGAAGAAGAAGGAGGCTAATATTGAAGAAGAAACAGGCTTTAAAGAATACATACGAGAAGGAAGAAAAAGACTTAATGCATCGCTATAGTTCTTATTACACTTTTTGATTTATTACACATTTTTAGTTACACTTCTTTCTGGAGTTTCTTTATTTTCTGAATTTCTTTTGCGACAACACATCCTCTGTAGTTGGCAGGACGCTTTTCACCATATCCTGGAGGCGAGTGATAAAATATTAAAATATCTGGAAGCAGATTGGTCAAATACGACTTTCAATGTAAATAAAAAATATTCATTAATTATAAGATAATAGATAGCGCATCTGAGAGATAACCCTTCTCGAAAAATAAATTACGTACTGTTCTACTAGTAGAGCAGCGAAAAACGTTTTGCTGGTAGTTTTATAATTTTATTTAAGCAGTTAATTATTATCCCCCGTAACTTTTAGCATGTGTCGGCCTCACCTGTCTATCGGATAACCTGTAATCAAACTCGAAATCGATCACTTGGTGAATCATCCACCGTGACTCACTGAATTATAACACTCCTCTAATATTATGATCCAACGTTAAATGTTTGTATACCAGAATCTTGCGATAATAACTGTGATAATGACAAAATTATTTGTTTTATAGCACCATATAGATTAGACCCCCTAATTTCATATCTACGAGTACATAGTAATAAAACGATGTTTAGTAGTTAATTCGTAGTACAGATAAATTAACTATTACTTTAGTATTCTACTGATTATTCTAAATGACGATTTCTACGAGTTTTGTAATTCAATGTAAAATGACTTCCGTCAAATTAGATTATTGAGGAATTTTTTCAATATGATAAAGCTTGGTAAATTTTAAATTCATTTTTTACTAAACTTAATAACGAACAAATGGAATTTGTGTAAAGTAAAATAATGGCATTGGTCTGGATCTTCTTTTTGCTTGGAGTAAATTTTTTGAAGAATAACCTGTCTAACAATATTTAATTATGCTGAATTGGAGCAGAGGCTCTAAAAGATGTTAAGCCAGCAAAAGCACCAGGATTTGATAATATTCACCCTGAATTCCTACTAAATTGTGGCAAGTATACAAAAGTTTGGTTGGCTCGATTTTCACAGACATCAAGGAAACTGGAAATATCCCCACAAGAACTAAAGCGCTCTAAGATAATAGCCATACCAAAGCCAGGCAAACCCGCTGACAACCCAAAAAACTACAGACCAATTGCGCTTCTCTCTGCCATCTACAAACTATTAGAGAGGCTTATATATAATATAATCAGTACAGATCTGTTCCAGGTGATCCCAGTCGAACAAGCGGGTTTTCGACCAGAACGAAGCTGCGCGGACCAGGTCATGTCACTCACCACCTACATCGAAGCGGGTTTCCAAATACTTAAAACTTCAGCGGCATTTATTGATCTCTCGGCAGCTTACGATACAGTATGGAGAGAGGGCCTTATATACAAAATTCTCCGTGCAATTCCTGTAAACAAATAGCACGTTTAATAGATAGCATGCTCAACGACCGAATGTTTCAAGTAGTGATGGGCACAGATATCAGTCCACCAAAGAAACTTAAGAATGGCCTACCACAGGGGTCAGTGCTCGATCCATTACTATTTAGCTTATATTAAGCAGATATGCCAGAAACACAATCTAGAAAGTTCGGATTCGCCGATGACTGGGCCCTCACTACACGATGCAGAACACTAGAAACATCTCAAGAAGTTCTGACGGCAGACTTATATATATTGAGCGCAAATATTTTCGCAAGTGGCGGCTTCAACCAAATGCATCCAAAACAGAAGTAAGTTGCTTTCACCTGAACAATAAACTTGCTGGAAAGGAACTCAACATACGGTTTGAAAATACCACACTTTCCCACAACAAAACACCGAAGTACCTGGGCGTAACACTAGACAGAACGCTATCATTTAAAGAGCATTTGACAAAAACTGCCCAAAAGTTGAGTACAAGAAATAACATTATACAGAAGCTCTGCGGTACCACCTGGGGAGCATCGGCTTCCACTCTCCGCCCTACTGCTTTAGACCTTGTTTTCTCGACCGCTGAATATTGTGCCCCAGTTTGGCTACACAGTCCACACGTAAAAAAGGTCGACACTCAGCTGCACAGCACTATGAGGATGATAGCTGGTACAATTAAATCAACTCCCACCCAATGGCTTCCAGTATTAAGTCACATTCCACCTCCACATTTACGACGAGTTGACGCACTTACACGTGAATACAAAAAGATCATGAACAATATAAACCTGCCGATCCACCAAGATACCGAGGATGCACGAAATACCCGTCTACGTTCTAGAAAACCACCAATGAAAACGGCAAGAATGATACATGAGGAGTTCAACATCACGAATGCATGGTCCCAAGAATGGAATGCATGGCAAAATAACATGCCCTGTATTACCCACAAGCCACCAGGTTTTGATCTTCTACGTAAAACATGGTCCACTCTAAACAGGATCCAAACCAGACATGGCAGATGTGCATACATGCTACATAAATGGGGAAAGAATCCGTCTCCTCAATGTGACTGTGGGAAGGACCAAACGATCGACCACATTATTGAAGAGTGTCCCTCAAGATCCTATAACGGTAGCCCTGAAAACTTCCTGTTTGCAACTTCAGAGTCAATTACACTTGATGTTTGTTTGTAATTATTTAAAGTTTGTCATATACCTATATTACTAGTGTTTGTAATTTTGTTCTAAATGTGTTGTTATTGCCATACGATAAATAAATAAATATGCTGAATTTCTTCATGTGCACTATTTGCCTTCTTCGACGGCACTTCGCCGCGTTTGCGCCACTGTTTCGACTGCTCTTTGGTTTTCGGTGTGTAATAATGCACCTAGGTTACATCAACGGTGATAAATCGGGAAAAAAATCCTTCGAATCGCGCCGTATGATCGCCAAAAGCGTCTCCGAAGTGATCACACGTTTTTGCATTTGATCGATTGTCAGCAAACGCGGCACACATTGCGCGGATAGCTTTTCATGGGAACTCGCGGAACTGGATTGGAAGATTCTGCCATAATCATGTCATGGACTTTGTTGATAATTTCCAACGTGGTGACTTCATTTGGCCTCCCGGGACGCTCATCATCAAAAGCACTCGTACGACCACGAACAAATTCAGCTTTCCAAAATTTTACTGTTGTTAACGAATGTGCAGACCAAACTAATTGTTTTTAAGACTTAAAATTTTGACAAACGTCATGTCATGAATGGCAAATGTCAACACCGAAACCAATTCGGTATCAAGTAGCGCCATCTATCAAAGGCTAGTTTAATATCAATCTATCCTAGTAGAAGACATATTTTAGTTTCAAAAAAGACTCCCCGAATACCAGAAACCCGCCTACAAAAATCAGAGCAAAATTAGATGGGGACGAAGCAGCACCTCTGTTTCAGAAACCCTCAAAAATCCGTCAAGAATTTACTCTTTATATAGTGCGCTCATAAACAAATAATTATAAACTTTGATCAAATGAAAAGGCAGATATCGAGCACAGTTTATTAATTAAATCTTGCCCAAGTACTTTCGCTTCCTAGAGCATCTTCAGGGGCATTTCGTCAATTTTGGCCTATCCAATAAACTGTTGAGAATATCATAAACATAAATTTGTACATTACACTACACTACAACAAGTTTAAGATTTTTAAAAAAGGCGAAACTACATTATGCTTGGCATACTCTAGAATCTCTCTAAAATCTAATCTAGAATCTCTCTCCTGATTCCAAATGATGATCTCTCAACCTTATATCAATTCAAGTAATTATAAGTTTGTAGCACCCTTTTTGTGTAAACCAATAAGGCTCTGTAAGATCTGCGTGATAGTGACTTTGATAGACAATAGTACGCATATTCAGTAGTTTAATTTTTTAGTTAAATACCTTGTATCAATATTTAGTCCAAGACTAGGTATATAATGATAGATACAATGAATACAAAAACTACTAACATGCTCGTACATAGCCTTTTTAAATCGTCTTACGTGTATTCTAATTTTTGGTGCACCCTGTAAATCTCATTATATGCGGCATGTTCGTTCCATATTGTTTGTAAGGTTACAAAGAAAATACTCTTATAAGCATTAATGTGGTAGACGTAGACTCCACCTTAATATGCTAATGAGTGTCTATTATTATTTCTTTCCCGTGAGCCAACTGCACGCATCAACACAAGCATGCAAATAATTCTTCGATTGTGCTAATAATAAGTGAATTAGTCAAAGCTAATAAAGATAATGTTTGGTTTACTTATATACCACCAACGAGAAATGCTTAGCATATATAAAATGAACATTACACCAAAGTATTTCAACAGAAATCGGATCAATCGAAAAAAATTCCCCATCTATGAAAACAATAAAGATAAAATGCAGCTGATACAATACAAATTAAAATTATTCATAAAAAGAATATTCTTTTTAAAATCGACTAAAAAGTATAAACAATTTCTCATAAATCCGTAGAAATTTAAAATTCAGAGTTATAATCTCATACTTACAGATTATTCTTAAAAGTAGTTTTGATAGTGATATTTTTTTTCCAAATTAACGTATCTCGATATCTTTGGTCATTGACACGGGAGCAAAAGTTTGCAATAATACCTAGAGAGTTATGATACAGAGTTTAAAATAGTAAAGAATAACAATATTATGTAAATTATATTTTGTTAAACAACTGAGTCTTTAAGAAGTCTACTAGGCTCTTCAGCCGGCTACGACAGTTCAGAAGTTCTGTTGGTTATATTCTTGGTAATGCGACTGGCCTGGTAAAGTTGACATTATGTGAGGATATTCTTGACAATAATAGGAATATCATTGCAGTGGGAGCATAACTGTTGGTCTGTAGAAGATATAAGATGACCGTTTGTCAAATATGTGTGTCCTGTTCTCAATTTGCGTATTGCTATCTTCTCCTTTTTGTTCAGGGATGCTAGGGATACATAATAGCTGTTAACATTAAGTTGTATTTCTCTGAGCTTTGTGTCTTTGGTGATCCAAAGTTGCCTTGGATATTATATATATATATATATATAATATATATATATATAATATATATATATATATATATATATATATATATATATAATATATATATATATAATATATATATATATATATATATATATATATAATAACGCATTGATTACGGCTGTCGCCGTTTTCTCCGCCCCCGATTTCCATCTTTTCTGCCATATGCATTTGCCTCTTCTAAGTCTCTTGCCGCCATTGCTTCATCAATATCGTTGCGCCAACTTCTCCGTGGTCGTCCTCTCTTTCTTCTTTCAGGAGGTATCCATTCCAGTACTCTTCTAGGTCATCTGTACTCTGGCATTCTTTTAACATGTCCGAACCAGATTAATTGTTTTCTTTCTATGTCATCATTGATATTTCGCTCCATTTTCATTTCGTTTCTTATTTGTTCGTTTCTAACTCTCTCCAGTTTCGATCTACTACAGCTTCGTCTCAGATTATCCATTTCTATCGTCATAAGTTGGTTTCTATTAGCTTTGGTGACTTCCCAACCGTAAAGTGTAATACTTTGGACTATACTACCGTAAATGTGATTTTTTTTCTCGTCGAATTGTTTTTTTACCAGACAAGAGACGGCAC